CCTAGATCCAGGTCGCTGCTCCATCACTTACCCACTGGTCACCTTGGAAAAGTTACCTATCCTTCCAAAGCCTCACTTTTCTCAACAATGGCAATAGCAGACTTGCCTCAAGGGCATGTCAGGCTCAAATGAGGTGATAAAATCTTTAGTACATGATGAGAGCCCAATGGATGTTAACTATTATCAACTGTGGAAGAGAAAAGACTATTTCATGTACAATATCTGATTTTGATACTGGTTAAAACTCCTTCTAAGATTACTGCTATCAAGCAGAAGTAATTAACATTCACTGTCTCTCTTTTATCCCTCAATAGAGGACTTAATATTTCAGCTTATGCATTTATTTTATAAATTCTTTCCTTCTCCTAACATATTATAGGATATTTTTGCTTGCTATTTTGTCATTGTTGCTGCTTGTTTTGTCTTTAGACAAATACATCTTAAGCAACTGGTTAAAGGTTGTGTTACATATTTCACTTGGTGTGTTCAGTGGAGCTGAATCTAAATGAATTCAGATACTACTTAGTACACCAGTGTTTCCTATTGAAACAAATAAAAATGAGAATGAACTGGCAAGGCAGTTTTAGAAAATATGGAAAAGTAGATGTGACCTATGAAGAAAAGGCAAATTATGCAAAGAGTTGCTTCATTCTCTACTTCATTTTGCTCTGAGAGCTCTGTCCTAAGGCAGAGTCCTCTAAGGCTATTTTCATAGGAGAGAATATATGAGACAGTAGCCCCTGGTTATGTTCTGTGCTCTAGAAATCTGTCAGAAATGTGAGATCAGGGATCCCATAGGGAGAAGCAGAGAAGTCCTCCCTTTGGGTTGTGACCTTTATTTCCAATCTTAGAGCTCCCATGACCAATCTAAATTTGATATCCTAGGAGCAAATTCAGAACTACTCTTCAAGCACAGGAGACTTTAACACAACCAGACCCCTCTTCCTTCACACTCAGGCCCAGCCCCAGCCGTTCATTCACTCTCCACGCTAGGTATTAATTCAATATAAAATATTCAGCTAACACTCGCACATATACACACACAGACTTATTTAAAGTCACATGGCAAGTTAGTAACAAGCTAAAAATGCTGAACTTCTGACTTCCTATTTTACAGTGTGTTCTATCAGCACTAAACAAAGCAACCACAAAGAAATCACTGAATCACTTGCAAATATTTCCTTGGCCCACTGGTTTGGGAGCTAATCCATGTTCAGTTTAAGTGGTTATTTTTACAGTGGAAAATGACACAGTGCACCACCTTTGATTTTCTTATGAAGTAGGTTTTACAATACTTTTAGTAAAGAACTTGCCTTCTGTTGTTGCCAGAGGTACAACCACTTTGCAAAGTATTATCCAGAGACACATAATTGTCCTTGCTGTCTTAAAGCAGATACAGGAGCACTCTATAAACAAAATCTAAAACTTGTAACTCTGGTCTTTCATCCCACCAATCTGTGTTCCAAATGGCCAGAGAAATCCTGCTAAAACACAATCAGAACAAGCTACTCTTGTTAAAACTGTACAACCCTTAAAAGCATAGTTCTTATGGTCTGCCCCCACCTTAACTCTCCAGCTCTTCTTTATGTTATTCCCCACAATGATTCCAAGCTATAATCAAAGACCCCTGAATGTGCCATGCTTTTCACATCTCTGCTCTAATGGAAAGAGCAAATCATCCATCATGTGAAAAGTGCCTTACATATGTGTAGGACAATCATAAGCTATAGAAGAGGAAAAGTGATTGACTAAATGGAGAGAAACATTTGAGAGATGCCTCTTAGCCTAAGACTAATTAAAGAGAAGCCTAAAAGTTTACCAAACCTTAGAGTCTGATGGTAAAAATGCTACTGACAAAACTTCTGTTACAGACCTCAATAGTTCAGTAGGTTCAAATCTATTTGAATTTGCACAGGACCAAAGGGAGCAGAGAATGTAAACATCCTAGCTGCTGAGGAATTCCCTGCAGACACTAGCTGACAGCATTACCTGTCTATAGAGAGATTTTCAAGGCAAATAGGTACTGGTCTAGACTTTTGGGGAGTGTGGAAAGATGTCTAATAGAATGAGTTTTCACCAATGGAGAAAAAAAGGGATACAGTGAAATGTCTGACTGAACAGATAACCCTGGCTCAAATGCTTTTCTGGATGGAAATACACCCAAGGAAGCTAAATATCTTTCAGAACTTAACTGTTCATGTGCATAGAACTTTTGTATTGGAAACATGTTCACAAAACAAGGAATAAAGAAAGGAACAAAGGGAGGGATAGAAGGATTCTCTGGCCCGGTGGAAGAAGCTAGAAAGTGAATCACAATCTGTTCCAGTACACAGGCTGAGGAGGAGTGTTTCAGGAAAGGCAAGAAATGATTTGGAAATACTCTTCCATGGTAACTCTTGGGAATAAACGTAAGGGGATATGGGAATTCATATTAAACGTCAATCTCTTTCCTAGGTTCATTCCCTTCAATTGCCTTTTTTAATTCTATTTTTGAATTTCACATGTTCTTTCAAATGTGAAGTGATAAAAAGAAAAACAGCAATCTAATGGGCTTTAAGATCATTAGGCTCAACCTCCTGCTGTATTCTGAGAACAATTACAAAATTAGAACCTAGGGTTTTCTGTCCTTAACCAATCTGTTCTTAAAACTGTCACCTAAGGAAATTCCACAACCTACCTTACTATCTCACTTTTCAATAATACAGATTCCCCCAATTTTCCTAATGTTTAACATAAACTACCTGTAATACATTCCCATATCATTTTTTTTTTTTTGCTGATGAGTAATTGGCCAAGATATCCATGCTCCAATAGCTACAATTTAATGGAATCACAAAATTATCATCAACTAAGTTCTCACAAGCAAAATAATGTCTGACCAATTTTGGTATATCTCCAAACACCTATACCCTGACCTACAGATTCCTGAACAGGCTGGTAATTCACAACTCTAGAAAATAAGGGATATTTTTGTATGTTAGTTTATTGATACTCATTTTTCTATAAGACTACTTAAGCTTTCCCCTCATAGGTTATGTTTTTGAAAACACTTGTGATTCTTACTGTTTTCCTCATACATCCTCTGCTCTATGCCTCACTGACTCTTCTTCCTAATCTTAGTAAATATAATCAGTAAAACCTGAGCAAGAACTATATTTTGCACTATACATTTGTTTTGGGTTTTTTTGCCAAATAGTATAAAATTTGCAATCTGCTATTTGTAAACATCGCTTCTCTGGATCTATCACTCCATTGCTTAATCCAATATTTTTTACTATAAAGAGTTAATTAAATTTTCCTCCATGAAGAATCTGGTATGTCTAGTGAATTTCATTTTGTACAATGTACAAAAATAAAATTGAATTTTATTTATAATTGATTAATAAAGAATTTATAATTATACATCCACTTGTATGTTTATTACTTTATCAGTATCCATCATTATTCCTTTGAATCATATTTCACTAGTTTATTCGAAACTATCATGTAAGAATATTTTATTTCTTTCAGTTTCTCCTTTCTAACTATTCAGACCACTGTTTTCAAAATTATTTTCCACTTTCACTGTGTTAATTACCACATTTTCTGAAAATGTCACTAATGCTAGACATTTCCATCAGATTTAAATACCTCATAATTATTTTGGCTATCTAAAACTTATAATAAACACTTGTGCCACAGTAATTAAAATTAAGCTGATTTTTAAGGAACTTTTTTCAGTTTCTTTCATTTTTGACATCAGCTCCAACTTCCAGTTCAATAAAATTACTCATACATTGAACTATTCTACTGCTTTGTAATGAAATAGAAATTTTTAAAAAAGTAATGATAATCAAACCAAAGAAATAGACAACATGAAAATTATCTCTATTCCATTTGTTTTATAGCTAAAAAAAGTTTTTATTCTCAAAATGGAGATTACAAAGTTTGGCCTATTTAAGGTAGCTTCCACCAAAAAAAGTAAAAGATTTAGTATTAATTCAAAAGTTACTTGAAAGTGTAAAGCTACACTCAGATTCATCTAAAATAGAAGTGAAGCAGAATTGTCTGAATAATCTTGATAATGAACTCTATATTATGTTTCACTTTGCTTTGTTGACACAGTCTCTGAACAGGGAAGAACTGTGAAAGTTATTTTAAATTCTCTTAACTTTAAATGAAGTTTCTAGTAAATAAGTTACTAAAAAGCTACCCAAAATAAATTAAAGATTACCTCAGGTTTATTTTCTTCTCAAAATGTGTATTCCCAATGAAACATTTTAAGATGATACTAAAAGCATGGGATTATAATTCATATAAACAAATACATATAAAATATATGTGTTTTTATGTACATATATATAAACAAATATATATATAATCTTCCAGTCCCTACTACAACTCTGCTAATTATTACAGTTGAAAACTATTACTAATAAAATAATTGAAAACTATTATAATAAAAAGTTACTGCTTTGGGATTTTGACATTTCCTACACAAATTTTTCAGATTCAAATCTCCATAAAAAAACAGAATAACTTTCAATGATGGAAAAATAACATATGCTAAAATACTATCTGGTGTTATTTCTGCTATGAATAGTACGCATATTTTGTTACCTTTAAAAGCCAATAAAATATATATTGCTAAAATGTAAACAGAAATGAACATTTACTCGTAAAATAACATAAAAGATGCAATAAAATGTTAAATCATGTTCCAATTTAGTAAATACCCAGGAATATTAAACTGGAAGAAGAAATTCCTTTGGTTATCATGAAATAAAACAGTGATTTCTACATCTTGATTAAAATAAGACATTAATAGATTGAGTTTTAGATATATTTTACCCAAATTATAGCAAATCATAGCTCAACTGCTCTAATATCCTGATAACCAGTGATCATGCAAGATGAAACTATAATTATCAGCAAGCCACACATATCAAAGTAAAATAGGTATTGATTAGACTTGTCTTTCACAAAGTACAGAAAATTAACTTGCCAGTTTAGTTACCTACCAGCAATGACTGGATTCTATTAGTGTTATCACCTTTACAAACAGCACCAAATTATAATCCCTCTTTCCATAACATAAGCACCATGCCACAGGAGACAACCAAAGTAAACGTCCTGATCATGAATAATGAATAGTTTGGGCTGGTTGGAATCCACTTAGTTGAGGAAAGAGAAAAGAGAAGTGGCTCATTAGGGCATTTCCTGAACCTTGGTTGGAATTTCAGTTAAGGAAGAAGAAATGACACAGCAGTTTCATGTAGGGGGACTTCCTTTCTTTATGTGAAATATGCTACCAATTTGAGAAATAGCACTCCAACAAAAGTACTCCACAGTAATGTGACCACAGTAAAAGCTCTAGTTGATCCCATTATTGCCCCATAATCAACATTTCTTCCCAGAATAAACACAAGCAGTAAATGGTTGTTATCAAAATGGACTAAGGTCCCACATTTATTGCGACGTGTCAAGTCTCACACTTAACGTTTCTTCAAAAAGCTGACCTGCACCAATTTTCAGTTTTTAAGAATTGCAGTTTTGTTAAGAGTGTTAACAGATTTTGAGTTTTTGCTTTAGGCCATTAAATTTCCCATATTTCATATAATCACATTTTCCTTACATATGATTTTGCTCTCAAATTCCAGGATAATTTTCATCTTGTCCAGGAATATTTTATTTTCCCATGTAGTTGGAAGATATATATTTCAACTTACAAGATTTCTAATTTTTATTATTATTTTTATTTTTCATATCCCAGTGTGACATATTTTTAAGGGACATGAGTACTGGTTACTCACTCACTACCTTTATAAATGAAACATCTAAAGAGGTCTCATTTTATATATTAGTTACCTGCATGAAAGTAAAAACCTAAAGATACAACTTTGTTCCCACACTATAATTTGTGCTGTGAAAATCTGCATTTATTTTATAACAGTTACATCATGACATATAACATAATTACTAAAGTTTCATGCAAAGGTTACATTCAAATTCCTCTCTTTGTGTTTTATAAAATCATGCAACTGGGCTTCCCTGGTGGTGCAGTGGTTGAGAATCTGCCTGCCAATGCAGGGGATACGGGTTCGAGCCCTGGTCTGTGAAGATCCCATATGCCGCGGAGCAACTAGGCCCGTGAGCCACAATTACTGAACCTGCGCGTCTGGAGCCTGTGCTCCGCAACAAGAGAGGCCGCGATAGTGAGAGGCCCCGCGCACCGCGATGAAGAGTGGCTCCCACTTGCCGCAACTGGAGAAAGTCCTCGCACAGAAACGAAGACCCAACACAGCCATAAATAAATAAATAAATAAATAAATAAATAAAAAAAATATATATATAAAACCATGCAATTAAATTGACATTGATGTTTGTCAAGGAGTGAAGTTTATGTGAAAATGTCTCAGCACTTTGTGTCTTCTCTGAAGAACTGCAAGACTATTAAGTAAAAATTTTAAAAGTTCTCTCATTATCAATAACTGATTTTTGAGTCACCTTACATTTTCTTATGATGTTATCACACATTTAAATCTCCTAAGGTGATGGGAAGGAGTAAGTACTTAATTTAGAGCAAAGGTGATTGATTTAAGTTAATTTTAGAAATAAAAAAAAAAGATTAATAAGAAACATTGTTAAGAAAGAGAAACCTGGGATTTTAACTCATATTAGAAACTACTTCAGATAGAATTATAATTTAAAACACATTTGTGTGATTCAGAAGGTAAGTTTTGAAGCTCTATTATTATAAGGGCATACATTTTGGTTTTTGAAAAGTTGGAAATGCACACATGGACACACACACCTGAAGCAAAAGGCACCTATGTGTTAACAGTGCTTATATCTTAATGGTGGTCTAGAGGAGCACTTAAGATATTTTAAAAGCTTTGTTTACCTATAGCTTCTATATTTTATATAATAAACATGTTTGAAATTTGCATGAAAATATAGTTTTGATTTTAAAAATAGTTTGTACACCAAAATATTTAAGGATAGTATACTACTTTGCGTGATACTGTGATATAGTAAGAAATAAATATTTGGTCTTCATCCTTGGTTCCTGGTTCACGGTTCTTAATAGGGGTGAGAAGAGCATCTTTTGTTAATCATGTAAGCCCATTTCAACTAGTACATGAGTTTATGTTGAAGAGGTGACTTCTTTGGCCCCAAAATAGTTTCCGGATGAGGGCTGGTTGTCAGAGGAAACAACCACGTGATTAGAGCGTTGCTTTTCTAAATCACAGATTTGATAATTTTATTCTCCTTACTTGTAACCATCAGAAGCTTCCTACTGCCTCAACTGATTCCCATTACTCTAGAATAACATATAAAAGTCCTCACAACCAAATTTAAGTCTGGATCTCAAGCTTCATCATAAACATCCTTCCTTCCTTCTGCTTAGAATGTCCTGATGCAAGACTCTCCCTTTTTCAAAGTCTAGATTGTGTCTGACCTCCTGTCTGTAGGCTTTTCTTGAAAGGTAAGAATTAAATGCTCTTGTGTGTGTGAACAAACGGAACTTTACATATCTTTCTACTATAAGTATTAATGTCAGTATATTTTAATCCCAAATAAATTTGTAAATTCAATATAATATCCATCAAAATTCTAGTTACAGTCTATTGGTGTTTCTATTATTATTTACTAAGAAGAATAAATAAAAAACATAGCCAAATATTTTGAAAATAAAAAATAGTGAAGAAGGACTTGACTGATGAGATACTGGACATACTGTAAAACTACACTAATTAAAACAGCTTACTGATGGCATACAGTAGACAGAAAACTCAAACATTCATTTTTAGAAATTTAGTATATGTTGAAGGTTGTATTTCACATCAGTAGGAAACAGATATATTTCTCAATAAATACTTTAAGGGCAAATAGCTAACAATTTGTTGGGAGAGAGGAAGAGAGAAGTAGACAGAGTCCCATACTTCTACTATACCAAAAATTCAATTTCAAAATCTTAAAGATGCAAATATAAAATTTTAAAAATCACCCCCCAAAATGTGACTATTTTGTAATTCATAAAGTAGAGAAAAATATCAAGAAAGTCTAATGTATTTGACCACATACAGATTAAAATCTCTCTAAGAAAAGAAATACTTTTTAATGACTAAAAAAAATCTTGGGAAATGCTTTTATTCCTTAGCTTTAAATCATATAACATGTAGGTAATCGTTACACTGTATTATAAAGGTTTGATTGTCTTCTTATCTAAAGATGTACTTATTGCTGGATTGGACCATAACTTTTTCTTCTTTGTATTGGTAATTCTTAGTTTCATGACACTGGAAATTATGTAAAATGCTTAGATTTATTCCAGGCAGGGAACAAAGGACCTGGGATATTTATACCCCCCTAAAATCCAAAAGCCACTGGTTTCAGGCTGCCTCCAAGGGAACATTAACACCCAAGCATATCCTGCCCAAGTTGCAGCTGGGCAAAGTGGAATCTGTTCTGCTGAGGGCAGCCTTCTGGCAAAACTTCCATTGCAGGCAATTGGAAGACAAACCTGAGATGGTAAGTGGTATATGGAAGTATAGATAGAACATGGACACCATATGCTCCAAGTACTTATAATTAGTCCTGTCACACAATAGACAGTGTATATTAAATACTAAGCCTTATTTTCTTCACAGTAGCTTCTCCATCAAAACCAATATTTTATCTATCTATTATTAATTAATCAGCTTCTACTGAATGTCTACCATTTATCAGGCGGTAGGATACAAAGACAAGCTGTTGTGATCCTTAGCCTCAAGGAGATTAAAATCTAATAGAATTTGGAAGATAAATTACTTATGGTTTAAGTTAGTTAAAGGCAGAGAAACAGTAATTTAATAGATGAATATATGAAATAGCAAACAAAAATGATGTAAGGAATAAATGGATTGTTTTCTTACATCTGATTTTGTGAAGGACTGGGATATTGAAATGAGAAATGCCACAAAAGTAGAGGCTGCTTGGTTTCTAAAGTCAAACATATTTGGGGGCACTAAGGTAACAATCAGTAATAGATAATGTCTATGATAAATAATGTTTAAGTTAAAGACATATTAACAGATCATAGAAGAAAAAATTTTCTGTTTGCCAAATGGCAGCTAATGCACTTTTGGAAATGGACTCAAAAAACATTCCTACAAGTAAGTAGAAAGCAGACAAGAAGATTGCATACCAGCTCTTCAAAAAAGAAAAACAATGCATTCATTGTAACTTCAGACTGCTTTCATAAAAGTCTCAAAGATAAAAGATTATTGGTAAAGAATCCCTTTAATGGCAACTGATTTTGTACATATATACCTGGATGTTGAGGGTCATTACGCCCATAAGTATCCCTTTTTTCTTACCAACAAGTAGCCTACTTTAAGATAATCATTAATTTTTTAAAAAACTTCCAACCTGATAAACACTGAAGAAATCTAACTTCTCTTTTAAAAAGCTAAATTCAAGGAAAAGATATAGCTCTCCTAAGAAGTTTGGAGAAAAAGTCCAGAATCAATATTACCATAGAAAACAAACAAAATCAGATGTGAGTATATAGAACCAGAGTTTGTATGTCCCTCAGGGATAGAAATTATCCTTTTACAGAGAGATTAATATTACCATTAAGTCATTTGGCAAAAAATTCACATTGATTATTCAAAAGTCTGATTTCATTACCAGAAGTGCATAAGTTAGAAAGTGAATGTTCCCTCTTCGTATGTGATTACTCTACACTTTGCCTGAATAGCACTTTAAGATAAACACTAAATATCAAATCTGATCTTAAATTCCAATATCATTTAAGAATTACAGACCATCAAACATATGGAGTTCATCCCACTAAAATACTAACACTGAAACTTATCTAGATTTCTACTATTTCACTAGCACATTAGCAAGTGTAGTATTTGCAAACTTTCAATATATCTTTTAAAACTGCATTTAGGTTTTATTCCATCTAAGTTATTATGTCCTTAAGAAGCGTACTAGGCATGAGAGCTGTGGAACACGTGTAAGATCAGTATAAATATACAATTGCAATAGTAGTATTTTTTCAGTTCTAAAATGCTCTCATCTACTTCAATGAACTTCACAAACATCAACTCATCAATCCACAGTGTCAGCAGAAGTGCATGACTTAACATTGCTCTGTGAG